AGAAAGGCCCCATAGGTACACATGACACGTAAGCCGTCGGGTCCCACAAGTCGGATGGAGAAGGGCCCCACAGGTACATGTCGCATGGAGAAAGGATCGAGCGAAGACTTTTATGATGAATTGCAAGCGTCACGGATGAGTAACTGCAGGTCCCACAGGTACATGTCGGATGGAGAAAGTACCGTGTGGAGATCTATGACGAAGCGCCGTTCGTTACAGATCGAAAATTGTTCATCACAGATGTGTAATTAGTTCAATGACGAAGCCATGTTCATCACAATATTAAACAAGATCGTCATAAATGAGTCGCACGAGTGATCTGTGATGAACCATGTGCTCTTCTATGATGTTTCTTGTGACAATATCTGATTTCGTCATAGAAAGGGAGGGTTTGAGGATCGTCACCACTGATCTATGATGAAATGGAAATATTCGTCATAAAAAGCGATCTTCTATGACACTTTTGGAATCGTCATTAAAATTTTCATCATAAAAGTGGATATTTCTAGTAGTGACACCATTGAGGCCATGCGCCATGCTCTGGCATAGTCCCGCACTCCCGAGTAGTGGGACGAAAGCTCCGCCTAGGGTCACTTCGGCCCCTTGGCATTCAGGGCTAGGATTCGGCTGGCTTCCTACCCTTGGCATTTCCGACCATCGACGCACATCTCTAAGTACGACGGTGAGACCAACTCGGACCACTGGCTTGAGGACTATGGCCTCGCCATGAGGGCCGGGGGGTCAGACGATGATTTCACCATGTAGTACCTTCCCCTGCTCCTGTCGAGCTCGATGAGGGCTTGGCTTGAGCAGCTCGTGCTGGCAGCATCCGCTGCTGGGGTAATCTCCGCTCTGTCTTCGTGGGTAACTTCCAAGGTACATACACCTGGCCTGGAAACTCATGGGACCATGTAATTACAGGCTGAGGACCGACGAGACCCTCTAGGAGTACATCCAGCGCTTCTCCAAGAAGCACAACGAGCTCCCCAATGCCGATGTGATCAACGCCTTCAACTGTGGTACGACATATGAGGCACTCGTCCACACGCTTGGGTGAGAGAATCCACACATGACACAGGAGCTCCTGGACGTTGCCACCAAGTATGCCATGGGCGAAGAGGATGTCCAGGCCAACATCAGCGGCAAGGCCAAGGCTACCGGCCACCTTAGCAGTAGTGACGGCGGTGACGACCCTGCCTTGGCCCAGTGTCACTATGATAAGAGATCTAGGGACAGGAAGTGCCGCGGGGAGGAGATGGTGGACGCGGCCAACCACGCCATCAGGCCTCAGCCCCGCGGGCAGGGTGTGTGCCCTAAGCACTTCGAGAAGGCGCTCGAGGCGCCTACCTGTTACATGGGGGGCAGGTGAAGCATGTCCTCAAGAACTGCGCCATCACTAGGGGCTACATCCATAGCACCCTTGGCCAACAGGGCAAGGCCTAGAAGCCTGCCCCAAAGGCTGGCAAGCCAATAGGATGGCGCCTAAGTGGAGGACATTGAGTTCTCCGAGGCCGAGCAGTGCCTGATCTTCGGGGGCTCCTAGGCATACGAGTCCTACCAGCAGTGTAGCATCACTGAGCAGGAAGTGAACGCCGTCCACACCCTCGCCGTCCCAACGCAGCTACGGTGGTCGCAGATGGCCATCACTTTCGATCAGGGGATCACCCTAACCACGTTCCTCATCTGGGACGTTGCCCACTCATGGTCAGCCTGATCGTGGGCACCACGCGCCCCTCCAAGGTGCTAATGGACGGAGGTAGTGGCCTCAACATCCTCTATGCTAGCACCCTTGAAGGGATGGGCATCCCGCGGAGCAGCCTGTGCTCTAGTAGGGCGCCATTTTATGGGATCATCCGGTGGAAGGAGGACGTGTCCCTCAGGCGCATCTGGCTCAATGTCACCTTCAACCAATCGGACAACTTCTAGAAGGAGCCGCTCACCTTCGAGGTGGTGGACTTCCCCACACGCCCTCCTCGGCCGGCCATGCTTCACCAAGTTCATGGTCGTCCCCAACTACACCTACCTGAAGCTAAAGATGCCAAGCCCGAATGGGGTCATCACCATCGAGGGCAGCTTCGAGCAAGCCTACTACTACGAGCAAGACTACATCGCCCATGCAGCCGCATTGTCCGCCCCCCTATGGTCCAGCCGGCTCTGGTTGCGACGGAGGAAGGGCGTCTGTTGGTATTTCTTAACGTCTACAGAAGTTAATCCACAAGCGTATGAAATTACAGTTGTAGCTTTCACCCCGAAGTATTCAGGGTATCGTATTTCCACAAGGAATGGAGGTATTTCTTCTAGCTAATTCATCCAAGGACAACACAAGGATAGCTGGTGAGGGTAGAGAAGGATTCCTATGGCTTAGGGTCTAAGGATAGATAAACTCTACTCCTACTTGCTTACTTCGGGCGTCAGCTTACACCTGGTCTGCCAAGCGATATCGGCCTCCAACTCTACACTGTACTCGGACATGGGGGATTACGAGGGACGGACAGGGCTATCATCACCTGCCACCTACCCCTCAACTGTGGAGTAAGAGGCAAACGAAGCTAGCCTCTAGCCTAGACACTATGTCTATGCTATAGACTACTACTCTAGTGTCGATCATGGTTATCCGTCTTTATCAAGGCCCTCTACTAGCGTATCCGCTACAAGAGTGGACGATGATCCCGCAAGTAAATAAAAGTATAGCTTAACTAATCAAAAGACTTTTATAACCAAAAGAACCATGAACACTTACTAAGATACCCGTCGAGGTACAAAGTGTGTATTCGTCGAGGTACAAGTGGGGGAAGGCTACCGACAAGTTCAGCACTTCTTCCCCGAACTCTCCCTCACATCTCTCCTTACTACTTTTCTAAAGCTAGCTAGGGCCTAAGCCCATGGAGTGGTGATGCTCTTGCTCTTGCTTTGCTCTTCTTGTCTCTTGTGTGTTGTTGTGAGAATGGGAGCCTCCCTCCTCCTTCCAGACCCACGTGTCAGCCCCTCAAGCTGGCCTCCATCGCCACCAAGAAGCGTCCAAGCTGACATAGCCTGACACTCAGCGTGTCAGAACAGAGCAGCCAGACGACGCCTAGAGCTTCTTTGGCTCCACGACATTGCCACGGTTCACACGACGATGCTGCAAGAGCCTCCTGGACTCTGGCACATGTAGAACATAGGCTCAACTCCCCAAAACCGCCATGTACCCGATCTACCTCAATATATAAGAGGAAGGTCGGATCCTAAGAGGGGGGAGGATGATTCCACGCAGATCATTCAAGTCCTCACCGTTCAGCTCAAGCTCTGCACCGAGAGTAGAGCAACCCAAAGAGGGGCATCGAGAGCTCCTCCACCGCACCCGTCGTCTTCCTCCTCTCCGACGAGGGGGAAGGCTCCACTAGCGACGAGGCGTCCATAGGATCAGCACCGAGCGATCTCCTACCAAATCTCTCTCTTTCTCCCTTACACTCTGTTGTAACACCCAGATTTTGGGTGCTCTTGAGTATAAGGATCATCAGCTGCTGGACATAGGGCACCAATAGCCCAAACCAGGATAAATCGTTGCGCCCCCTCTGTGATTCTCATGTTCTTGAGTCCACACGAGCCACCAGAGACATGCACTCTGACACTACGATGAACAACAATGCTTGTCACAGTTTCGACCCGGCGACACTAGCAGAGAATGTGTCTGGTTGAAATATGACACATCATATTCGCAAGATATGCAATTTACTTTCAGAAAAGGAAGCTCCAACGGTTATACATGAAGACAATACGGTTTGCATAACTCAATTGAAAGATGGGTACATAAAAGGAGATAGAGTGAAACACATCTCGCCAAAGTTTTTCTTCACTCATGATCTTCAAAAGGATGGTATTATAACAGTCCAACAAATTCGTTCAAGTGAGAATCTAGCATATTTGTTCACAAAGGCACTCCCTACTTCAGTATTCAAGAAATTGGCACTTGGTATTGGATTGCGACAGGTCAAAGACATCAAGTGATGTTGTCATCAGGGGGAGTGAATATGTGTGTAATCTTTTTTCCTTGTCCATGTTTTTTTTCCACAGGGTTTTCCCTTGACAAGGTTTTTAACGAGGCATGCAATTCACCTATTAATGGACATCCAAGGGGGAGTATTATGAAATATTAATGTGAATGTCCATAACCCTTATACGATCAAAGCTACAACCTTCTACTTCAATGGTGTAACTCTCCTAGAATCAATTCTTGTAACTTTATCTCACATGTATGGCTATATATAGGAGGGCTTATATAGCATTAGAAAGAAGACAAGAGAAAAGAGAACGGCTCATTCTCTTTCTCTCTAAATTTGTTCTCCACATTCTTACATACATATTCTTGACAGTCAAACTAGCTATTATATAACAGTTTTGTTTTTTTTTCTCAATAGAGGCAATATTAAAAGAGGCAGATAACCAAACAGTTCTTTCAGTATAAAAGGCAGCTCTCAGGCCATGTTCACTTTTTAATTACATCCAGTAGGAACGAGGGGAGCTTGAGCAAAGTGCCCACAAATCAAAACTTCACCAGGACTTATATTTAGTTGAATGAAGAGATTAAATGAATTCTAGTGCATAGTGTGGTATGCCAACGTAGATAAATAAATGCATATTAGTGAATGATGTAGATTGCTAACGTAAATAGCTCGCATGAATAGAACAATGCTATAATTGTATACGCTAGTGTATGTCGAGATGCAATTTTAGTGAGGTTTTAAAATTATAAGATATATAGATATAGACATATAGATAAGACATAAGAGAAATCAGCACCTGGCCCGTATCTTGTAAATATGAATTGCAAACACAAAGGAAGAACACACAAAGCAGACAATATGAAGTCCAAAAACTCGTGTTAAACAAATACATACTGCAGCTTTCCATCTCCCAGTATTTTTGGTAGCCCCATGATTTTCACTCACTGAAGCAAACGCTGTGTGACCAGGTGCCTAATAGGCCAAGACTACAGCTTTCAAGAACTTGTATTTTACAAACTATCCATCCACCTTGAGTGAACTCAGCCGTCTTGTTCTTTGATCAAGCTCAGCCATGACAACAGTCTCCTGCTTTTTCCTTTCCTTTGTGATTGTGTTTGTTGTCATTGAACCAATCTTGTCAAACGCGAACTGGAAAAGGAAGGGTTTAAGATCGTCAACCAGTGTTTACAGATTATATTCATTGTGATTTTGCTAGAAACCTGTCTTCTTTCTTTTTTTCTAATTTTTTATCTACTGCTATAAGATATTTGCATAGACTAGAAAGCAATGTATCACTTCCTACACCAAATTTGTTGGTACAACAATACAAAAGAGTATGAGAAAATTCCTTCTATGCCATTGGAATTTATACCTATCTCTTCAATGCCATTAAAAAATATATCATCCCTTCTATGCCATTGTTTTTATTTTTTTATCTCCGTTTTGTGCCATTGCCGTTAAATTATATGCAAAATCTCAGTTGCTGCCATCTGCCACGTGGTTGTGCCTCCTCACTGGCACAAAGAAGATGAGGTCTCTCCTCACGATGGCGCCTCTTCGCAGCTCGTCGTGGCAGCGCATCCTCGCGATCCGTTGTCGGCGCCTAGGAAGGAGTAGAACGCCAGTATGATTGCCAAGGGATGAGAGGAGTTGGTGTCGCCCCTCTGTGTCTGCCTCCTTGCGGCCATGGCACCGCTCAAGGGCGGCCATGGAGCTTAAAGTCTTGGATCCAATGATGGCGTCGTGGCAGCACAGTGGTTAAAACCTTTGCATGGCCCACCTTTCGCTGTGCCCGTGCCCTTACCTGCGCTGCCCCGCGTGCACATGTTGCTCCCTGCACTGAGCTGCCTCTTCTCCACCATCCTACTGCACCGCACACTGCGACCCAGCCGCCTGCAGCAGCTGCTCGCTGCGTGCCAGTGATGTGGCCTGTGCCACCTGCTGCTGTCCATGCCACCCATGTACTCCCAGATGCACGCCGCGTCGAGGAACTCAGAGAGCACGACCATGTAGGCAGCACCGCCGCACGCCACGTGGTGCGTGGGGAGGAATAGCATTCGGGGCAACTCCGTGAACGCCGGCACAGCAAATTGCAGGCTATATGTCCGTGCCCAAGTGGCTCCAGAAGTTCTACTGCGATGCGCTCTAATGCATGGTGGTGGCCAGGAGCCCACGATGTCCAGGGACACCCTGACTTACTCACAAAGTAGACTGTGTTGTCCTTGCTGCCCCTATGCTTCGCTCTCTATGACGTGTTCCTTCTTGACTTACAGCACTGCTTTTCCCTTCTCTGTCTAGCAGTATCTAACTATGGAAACATCCTGTTGTAGCTATGCTCTATGCTCTCTGAACTTCTTTGACTAATCCGTGTTTTCATTTTCAGGGATGCACGTTAGTTAATGGGGAATAGGCAGAGAGATGAGGTCGGCGTCCACCTAAATGGCATAGAGGGGAGGAGAAAAATAGAACTAATGGCACTCAAGAGAAGCTATATTTTTCAATGGCAATGGGTATAAATTTCAATGGCATAGAAGGAATTTTCTCAAAGATTATGAATATATCAGGAAAGGATAGAACTATGAAATAACAGTGAAGAAGATTTACTGTCAGGAGTTCATCAGGGTCATATAGATGATGTGTGGTTGTTTGCAAAATATCAATCACATCACCGATATGTTGGATGTGTAGTAGATCATCTTCTTGCATCTGCAAATTTGGTGGACATAAGTAACGTGAAAGGAAAAGAAAGTAATCTTTAGCTGATATAGGCTGGGGAGTCAGGACACATGAAGTATATAAGAGGCTTCATGAGGTACCTTGAAAATTGCGAGAGCAACATGGAACAAAACCTTGGCTCCTTCATTGAATAAAACATCCCATACCCGAAGTGTTGTCTGCTCACATCAATGAAAAGAAGTGTGAAAATAAAACTTCAAATGATTATGAGCAAATCATACAGGGGACAACATAAATATTGATGCTGATGGAACTTTTGTGTAACCTCTGAAGGCAGGCTCTTTGAGAAGAGGCACAAAAACCATTCTGTAGCAACAAGTGAAACATCAAACCCCATTGCTTCAAGATGAGCAGCAATCCTACATCAATGCCCATTAAAATACAGTAAGAAATCATGGCCTGATGGTTTTGGATTTATATTGGTTAGTGGTGGCATGTCAAAAACATAAAGGGAAAGAAATACCTTGGACACTTCTTAGCCAGGAGATCTTTGAACACCCTCTGCTCGACATGGCATCCAGAAAGAGTGTCAGTATAGCAATCACTGACAAGTACATTCTCAAGGAGTACAGCAAGCATCCAAAATGCATCCTCCTCTGTCTTCATCACAAGCAACAAGAGTGCAGCTACATAGTTTAGACCCTGCAGCCGATGCAGTTAGTGATGGATGTGCTTAATGATATAATCTGATTTTATAATCTGGCACTATGCTAACCTGGCAGTATCCAACTTCTGAATCACGGAATGAGTACCCCACAAGTACTCGTCGCAGAGATGCCTGACCCTTGTCACTGTTCAACCAAGGATGACAAGGGAAAGTGCGAGGAAGATCCTGTAAAATCCCTATCATTAGTATTACTATTACTATTACTATCAACATAATTGTATCGAAACAAGAAAATTATAAAATGAAACACCCACATTTGTAGCGAAGTGAATTTATGCAGATGCAGTCTCTTTAGGTTCTTTTGATGGAGTTAATTTTCTGGCATAACAGAGTAAACTAGTGACAATACTTAAGATTTACCAACACAAACTACAGTATGAAAGGACCATCTTTCTATTTTAAACTTGAATAGTGACCACAAAGAAACATGGGTTCTATATGCTGCAAGATAAGAAAGCATCAATCTCCACATAACAAGTCCATAACATCTTCACAAAACTCACATGATCAATTTGCCTTGTGGCTGGCGTGGTCTTCCCCTCAGTAGCACGAATTAGCTCATCATAGTATGTTTCTGGTACTGTTGACCGTTTCTTGGCTGCTCCTGACACAGATAACCAAACCTTTGGCCTCAGCACCGGAGGCACACCTTTCCTGATCAACCTCCTCAATGTAATTGTATTAGTGAGCACTGACAACTTGAGTGATGTGACACTGATCACCACCTCATTTGAAGAAATCTTTGGTTGGAGGTACCAATTTGCACCCTTGCTTGCCTCCAGCGCCCACCACACCCTGCCTTGCTCCCTGATCCTCTCCCTCACCTCGTTCAGCACATTGACATCATCCACATTGCCCTCCACCATGAACCCGTACAGGTCCTCAAACTTGACAGACATGAGGTGTACATTGAACAAACTCTTCTTGCCTGTGCTGTACCTAATGGTATGGGTGTTGGTGGGCATCGACGCGGTGGGCGTGTTCCGTAATGTCCTCCTCCAGGAGTTGAAATCATCTGCCACGTCCCTGGTTTGGATCCCAAACATGTTCTTCTGCACAAATTTCACCTCCTCTTTTTGCCAGGCTTCTTCTCCACCTATCTATTTGCTAATAACCTACTCCAAAAGAAAACCTGTGTAATATATCTACCAATCTACACCCAAATCTTTCCTCCCCTCTTCTTAGATGTTCCTTGCGTTCTTGGTTTCCTTCGTAATCCTGGACCCCTACAACCATTTGAAAAATAAAACCCGGAATTTATCGCATTTCGTATTAAACGACGAGCAATCAGGACAAGAACTCCCGAGAAAGAAAGCAGCTAGTTGAAGAAAATGCAAATCACCTGCCGACTGCAAGAACCCTCACAGATCTTTACTGCTCTGCTGATTTATTGACCAAGAACCAAGAAGAGGAGCGGATCGGCTCGGTCGGTGCTGCTCGCTCTTGTAGATTAGAAGCGAAGGCAACACCGACGGCCGCAGATTGGGAGCAGCGACGACGACGACGACCAGCTGCGGCAACGGCTAAAAATGGGATGGCTCCTTGCTCCCTGCCCCTATTTGAACCCTATTTTGGGAGGCCTGATGGCTCTGATTAAAGTCGGATCAGGAGCTCCATTTTCATCACCAGCGTTATCGAATGGCGAAAGATTTTGATAGTATTTTGAGGTTCTCGCAAATCGCAATGGTGGATTGGTAGCGGCAGCTTTCTTGCCAATTTGGTGAAACGGCGGAGCTTGGGATACGGATTTATTCTTGTTGTGACCGTGTCAGCAACTCCTACTATCCAACTTTTTAATATGGTTGCACTAAAGACGTGACCATATTGAATAGGACAAATAGGTCCTTTTACATGCCGTATCCTATGACTCGTTTTTTGGAACGACAATGCACTAACTCACCAAATTAGGTGTTCTACAGATGAAATAGGTATTTTGCAGATAAAATTGAAACCACGAGTTCAAACACGCGAAATAAAAGGTCATCTTGATTATGCTGTAGCTTTGGTTTGTATCTAGCACAATACCTCGCTTGTTCAAAAAGAAAATAAACGAAAATGAGATTATGCGACGAAATATTATGTTACAAAAAGAAGTACAATCTGTAAATTTGTGTATCCTCTCGTTTGTTCGATGACTGTCGTAGCACACAAGCCTGCTGGTGCCATTTGTAAAATATCTTTTAGCTTAAACATAAATGCAAAGTGTACAAAAGAGGCTTGTGATGACACTTAATTAGGTCACACACTCGATACGGAGCTAGAACGCTCGATGTAGGGCCTAGCCGATTTTTAGATCGGCCGGCGCTTAGGGGATGTCCACACTTGGACCTTGTACCTCCAGTGATGAGCGTGATACGTAAGACACATTGCCGAAGGAGTCTCGCCGACAGCGCAATATGCAAGACACGTCGGTGAAGTCTCTTGAGACCCGAAACCCCACACGTCCGGAAGGGACCCCGTTGGGGCGTGCAGCGGCCATGGACTGCTCTAGCCGGCCTGACCGCTTTAGAGCTTCGCCATGGTCGATCCACCGTCCATGCAGCGCTGACAAAGAACGATGAGAAGTAGAAGGGAAGATAGGGTAAAAGAGAGGTAGTAGATTGATTTTTTGGTACGATTATGGCCCCGTTCAGCTGACCTTAAAAGCCGGCTTGTTCGGCTTCTTTTTTCAGCCGAAACAATGTTTTTCTCCTACAACAATTCAGCCGGAACAGTATTTTGGCTTATTTTTTCAGCCAAATTCAGCCAAGCGAACGGGGCCTATATGTATTGGGCACCTCAATCGGTCGTGGACCTTATATTTATAAGGTGGGGGTGGCCTTATCCCTCAAGGAGTCGAAACTCCTTCCAAATCATGTTAAAACGTGTTTAGATCCGTTCTAAACTTGACAAAGTCGGCTAAGCCGACTCTCGAGCCGGCTAGGCCGACTTCCACGGGTCCGAGGTGCTGTTTTCGGGTTGAAAACAAGGAGAGTCGGCTTAGCCGACTAGGGGACTCGGTTAAGCCGACTTGGCCACAATGTTTTCTCATGTGTTTCCAAGATGGCGCCGAGGAGCACATATCATTTAAAGTACCTCCACATAAAAAAGTTTCTACATTTAAAAGATCAAAAAGTGTACTTGAAGGAGGAAATAAAAATCCTTCGACAAACAAAAAAGAAGGAAAGGAAAATGCTCCTACAACTAAAAAGAAGAAAGGTATGCATAATAACTTGTGTGTGATCTGCTAATTTTCACTATATAGCAACTGATTGTTTGGACATGTCTACAGTAGATGAATCAAGGCAATCATCCAATATAAATCTACCCGGAGCTTCACAGCAGCCTGTAAGATTAACCAAAACCTGGATTCCCTTTAGTAACAATTTATTTCAGTTTGTAATGCCTTTTTCATTCTGAGACTACATTGGTACAGGGCACTTCAACTCAGCTGCTACTGAAGTTGCTGCAACATTGGCAACAAGCAATATGATGATGCCATTTGGAGATAACTCCATGTTCATTCCGCCAATTCAAGGAGTGTTTACAAATCTCTTACTTCAAGTTCATCATAAAGTACCTACTTCTCGTCGCTTAGAATTTGATAAATGAAACGATGATTCATGTGCTAATATTCGTGCACTTTGCAACTTGATGTAAGCAAGGAGCCAGCAGGATGTCGCCTTTCTCATTGCTTTTGATATACTGCTACACAGTGAAATCATCTTATCATATTTTACTTGTGTCTGTATTTTTATTTTTGTCGGGAAGGTTCATTGGTGTAGCAAGAAGCATCCTCGTCCATCAGGGTGTGAGGAATTAAAATGTACATGTATTGCTAGAAGTGAACAAATCAGTTTGGCAGAGACGCAAACGATTATGCCCCATCAAGCACATATGTGTTTTCCAGACATACCTGAGCTTTGAGAAGCATATATTTCATAGTGTTGATTATCCCACAGTCTGGCAGAGATGCAATCGGTTTTGTCCGAGGAGTGTCAGCAAAATACTCCCTCTTAAATCTACTTGTATACAACGGGAGAAGCAGCTGCAGCACAAAACTGAACCCTTTCAAGCACAGCTCTAATCTTCTTACAAAATAACTGCAAAGGCGTTTCATTAGATAATGCTTTGCTTACATTTGTAGAAGATCATTAATGTTCCTTCTTGCCTGATGGAAGAGATCGATATTGTTATGAGTCTGCAAGGGAGAATAAAGATAAATAATGCTCATCATGTATTATTGGAGGAAAAAGTAATGTTCAAGACGCAGTCTAATTGAAATTGAAGGGGTTATGTTATTCTAAAAGAAATATATGCTTTTCTATTCAGACGTTCATTGCTTGCTAGTATTGAATAATAGAAATGATGAGTACAAAACTGTAAACAGAGTAAAGTAACAAAAGGAGAACTATACAAAGCTAACATCTCTGAATATTTGTTTCTATTTGATTAAGAAGCCTATTATTTTCCTCCAGAAGATGCTGCACTGGACGATGTATCTCAGATGCTACATGATGGAAAATACAGCATTGTCATATCATATTACAAACAAGCATTGGTTAAATGTTGCCGAAGTTTAGGACATGAATCTGTTATAGTGCACTACTTGAATCTCAGATGCTACTTGAATCTGTTATAGTGCACTACTGAAAACTACAAGGATCTGAAGTGCAATTTATATGACTAACAAAATCTACTGATTTACAGTATCTCGTTAACCAAGGACAAAATAGCATGCTACATGTTTGTATGTAGTTCCAAATACTAGCAAGTAGAAGGCTGTGTAATCCCAAATTTATTCTAACAAGTTCCACATACCCAAAGCTATTCTCATTCATGTTGTTGAAAAGTAAACATCCAAAGTGTCAACTTTTTTTTATCCCTTTCTGTCACTTGACACTAGAAACTCTGACAATATATACAATTATAGGTTTCATCAGTCACAGCTCTAGAGGCCATTGTTATTGCTGAACACACACCATCAATGGTGTAAAGTCCATTGTAGAACAGTTGGTTGGCACAGTGCCAACCTCGATGTGTTTGGGCGTGGTTGCAGTCTGTGCAGGTGTCACAATGTCCCAACGTCGAACACTTGATGTGCGTGGCTGTTGACACCTAAAGTGGTAAATGGGTAAACCGCTAGCGTCGGTAGTCAATGTAGTCTTCACCGAGAGTATTCCACATATCGTATTTCTATGGGGAACGTGAAGTGAACTAACTAAGGATCAAGATTGTCCTATGATGATACAAAAGAGCCTATGGAGCTTGGGTAGAGAGGATCTAAATAGCAATGATATCTGGTAAAGATAGTAGTTAGAAAGGGCAGATCACCCACCTTGCTTATAGGAGGCGATAGGCGAGACAATAGGGGCTGAAACCCCTATCTGAAGCGACTACCTTGTTACTGGAGCTAGCCCTACCTTTTAATAACTTGCCTACAACACGTGGTGGACTACAAGGGTTAGACAAGGCTGTCACCACTTGCTAGTTACCGCAAACAATCCGTGCGACAAGCGGTCTACACAGGCAAGATATAGTCTAGACACCATGTCTACACTATACTTACTACTCTAACCTCGGCCAACTAAGTTCCCATAGAAAGGCTAGAGCACTCTACTAAAGTAAAGCTGTGTACAGGTAAGAAGGCTATATAACTACTAGTAGAGACAGAATATAAAATGCTATAAAGAACTCGGATGTATTATTTACTAGAAGATAGCATCCGCTGAGGTACACCTTGGAGAAGACTCCCGACAGGCCCGGGGCTTTCTCCTAAAGACTTTCCTCACTCTCTCCCTAATTGCATAGCACTACAGTAGAGCTTCGCTAAAAGCTATTAAAGAGTGGTTTACTCTAATATGTCATGAATGAGAGTGAAGTCTAGGGGGTATTTATAGCTAGAGTGAGGGGTAGTGCCACGTCAGTGATCTAGGTGACTTCTCCTAGCCCTTGGGTCAAACCAAAGTGTTTACACCAAATTTTG